TTCCATAAACATGCTGTAGAATCTCGCAGAGTGGCTCAATCGCGGTGACTACGCGAGAGTGAGGGACAGAAAGACTGAAAGACTTGGAGATGTCACGTATTTGCATCAGGAGAAGTGAGAATGTGGAGTGAAGAAAATGCACAAGGCAATTAGACTTAATTCCACAGCATAAAGAGTCAAGTTGCCTTTAAAGGCTTTTTGTTCTTGTTTTCTTATTGTAATATGATTTTAAAGTGAGCACTTTAAATGCCACCACAAGGAGAAATAAAACCGAGAACAAGTGAAAGCTTTTTCTTGATACAATACTGTCGACTTCGTCCAGAAAGGCCACCTCGCAATAAGCCAAACAGAGCGTGTTCTTATCAGTGTCACATTCCCTTGTCAACCCTTGAGGACACATGGTTTGATCCACCCTCTGACCAAGTGTAATAAGGTCACATGGGCTGATGTCGGTGGGAAAAATTCCATTTGTTGTGTGTTGCCGCAAAATTAAATAAATAACTGCGTAACCGCTGGGGTGAGGAGGAGGAGGTGGAGGTGGCCAAAGGGGGACAGCGCACTCAAAAAACATCCACATCCTGTCAAAATAAATTTTCTCATGCGAAAATAATGCTCAAGTCCATTACAGATGCTATCAAAAATCACTTAGAATTGTAATTTCAACGCAAACAATGCGGCTCATATGGAATAATAAATGAGATATTATAAAGTTTATGTGCGTGGCATTGTTGAGGAATGCCGGTTGTCTGGATGCGGAATGGGGGGGGGGGAGGGTGAAAAACATATTAATCTGGAGCTTAAGGAAAAAGGACATCGTATGGCATAAAAAGCACGGGGCTCTTCATCAAGTAATGTGCTCTCTCACAGGCAAGTAACTAAAGTGGCCTCTCTAAACTCGTAAAAAATGTAATATGCGAAATTCCCCCAGTGAAAATAATACTTTCCAGCATCATCATAAATTTTTCTCAACCGGAATTGTTGAAATTTCTCTCGACTTTGCAGTTGGGGAAAAATTTTGCCTTCTTGCTCTCAGTGTTTAATCAGCTTACGGGATGGAATTTCGTGCGATCTCAAGAGTTTGAGCATTTTTTTTGTGCTTGATATTGCTCTTGAATGCGCGGATATGACCGTAAGCATGATAAAAGTTTCCTTCCTGTGGCTACTGTCAAGACCACAGCAATAACTTTTGGGATATTATCTGCAGAAGCACAACTCTCCAGTGAAACGGAAATGCAAGCAAGATGAGTAGTTTGAATTAGTTTTCTGTCGGATTCATGCTGTTGTTTTAGCAATTTTTGCATCGTCATTAAATGTCAGCACACACAATTCTGTATTGACAATTTATCACTGTTAAAATATTTACTATCTTGTGCATTTTATCTGAGGAAGTAGTCCAGCAGTCCTAACGACGTTTGTCTCTATTCTTTTCCATGCGACATATTATTAGCTTGGGGCGTGAACGTCACCCATCTTCCATTTTTTCCTCCAGAGTTCTCCTCGTCTTCATCTGCTCGAGAGACTGAGTGTCTATCCAATTTCTTGATAGTAATTGTTCCAGTGGAAGTCTTATCGTGTAGTTTGTTAAGTTAGATGTGCTTTTTCATGATAATGCCTGTCGGGTGAACTTAATAAAATGCAGAAATATGCATAGAGCAGTGCAATATTAAAAATGTTTGTCTTGAACATCGGGTGAGTGGGGTTGAACTTTGGATAGAAACATCCAGACAGATGCGGAGAGGAAGATATGCGACGATGAAGGTTAATTAAGAGGTGAATAAAGATGTGAAAAATATGCGATTGGTAGAATTCGGATTGCTATTTTTTCTCCGTTTTTTCTTTACCTCTTCAAAAACCTCAATTCAAATATCAAGAAGAGTCTTCTTCTTTATTAGAACAATGGTCAGGGAGATTCCACTCATAAAGTCAAGACCAGGGCCAAATCTATTTCTAAGAATATCTCAAGTATGCCATTCAACCCTTTCTCTCTGGCTTTCATACCCATTTACAGAGAAGGCAAATCCATTGAGTGGCTTCTTCTCAGCTCCGTTGTGGCGAGGCAAACCGAAATTTCTCCATCAAATCCCAAAGAAGGTCCTCAGAACTAACTTAAATGCAATTCAGCATTGGACTTTTCCGAGGGAATTAATAACTTCATTGTGTACCGTAATATATTGAATGGGGAGAACCTTAATCCCTTCTCACACCACCTCTCAAGCATTTATTACGGAGGTACTCAACAGGTTCACCATTATAATTTATAGCGAGATTTAATTGAATTAACAATTCTTGTTATGCTGTATTTATTTACAATAATAAAAAACTTTCAGATTCAATTGCGAATAAAGGAGCAATTGAGGTGGAAATATTTTGCTATTCGAAATTATCAAGAATTTCGCAAGATGTTGTATTTGAAATACAAATTATTCTCTATATAGTATGAAAGATAACTAATTCAATTCATGCTGTGCAATACTATAATTCTTCTGTAATTATTTATTATTATTCTACAGTTTGCAGCGCATAATAAGCTTGATAATAAGAATATTTACTGAGACATTCTGAGCTTTTCTGAGCTCTTCTGAGATATGAAGTCCCTTGATTCCAATCCACTCGGTCGTGTTACGATTGAAAGGACCGAGCAAAAAGTGTATTTTTCTCGGTCTGATAGTTTTTTATTCCGTCTGACATTCAATTTCAACTTCTCTACAGACAATTCTATATGTATCCATTCGGATGAGCCTGCAGCAAAATTGAATTTTACACGCGAATAAATCTTCGTCATTTTTTCTCCATCTCCCCAGAAATCTTCCCGCCTGTATTATATTGAAAATGTGAAATTGAAAATCACCCCAGAGAAGCTATTGTCAATTTGGGCCTAGCACATTATCCCCAGACCCTCTCACACTCCGCTCGCGTCCATATTGGGGCCAGATAATGGACACGCACAAGTGTCTGGGGAGTGTTTGATGGGGAAAGTGGGAAAATTATGCATTGGTGTCTTCGTCATGTGACAGAAAATGCTTGACAGACTGATGGGCCGTGGTGGATGTTGGAAAATTGCGGCCTGGAATATGAGAATTCCCACCCATTAATAATGTTACACATCTCCGGCATTCATATAATCGGTATTGTCATAAAGCTGTGGTCTTGCAAAACCACAGAACGGAACATGGTACGTGGCATTAATTAATAGAGAGTTGGGGCAACAATCTGTGTGCAAAATTACTAGGCAACGTCCAATTTAAATGTGACGAAAATATGATCCTGCGAGAAATGCGGCCTTTCAAATAATATAAAATTTAACATGATGTCACTAATTGAACGTGATTACTCTGCAATGTGGGGATCACATTATCATTTCTATTTCGCTAAAAGCAATCTGGCTTTTGATGCTGTACAGCTAGGAAAATTAAAGTGGCAGATAATGAATGCCAATCTAACACTGCCAGCCACAATTAGCATTAACTTTTGCCCAAAATTGGGGATCCTGTGCAAGATATCAATTTATATTTGCATATAATTGCTTATCTCTGGTTTCTTGTCAGACAACAACATTTCTGCGTGATTTGAAGGAGTTGAAAGTTTAAATTTATACCATGTAGTGAGAGATAATAAAGAGTGCGCTACAGCATATCTTGCACACATCTGTGTAGTATTTGCATAACGGGAGAATTTACATAATTTTCCATTTTGTCAATTCATCTTCTCGCCGAACGCGGTATTATGTGGGCGATGAATCCATGTGAAATTAATCATCAATATTTAATTTCATTTGCCATACACGCCTGAATAAGGGTGAGTGTTGTGTGTGGAGCGCGGGACTTTCGGCAAATATTGACATTTACCTTGTCTGTGGAAATTTATTTAACGACTCATCGAGGGAGTTGAATGCAGGGCCATTGAAGTGCCCTTTTTATCCCCTTGTTTTTTCTCCCTGTATTTCGATATAATGTGCGTCTATCATTGAAATAAATTGGTGGTGAGACACGCAAAACTAGTGTTGATGAAATTAAAATAAATTTATCTGTAAATACTGTGTTGAACAGTTTATCCCATTTCCACCTCGTTTTTTTCACCCCCCGACTTCACGTGTCTTTCACATAAAAGCTCATATAGGGTGGCTAGGCACGCTATATGTGGGTGGGAGGGCATGAAATGAGGCGAAATCGCGGGTGAGAGTGTGAACCAGCAACCGGAAAGTGGTTGAATGTGATTTGAGAATGAGAAAAGTAAAATTGAACTAATATTGTATACACAGGCAGAATTTATTTGAGATGTCAATTTCAGTACCGCACACAAAAGCTCATGCTTTTGCGGTGGTACATCTATCGATTGCCACTCTGCACACACTTCCTTGCATATTTTTATAGCCACAAAGCCTTCTATCCCATTGAAAGTTACAAATGGAAGTCCACTGATGCATTTTTTTACCATTTGTCATGAGCGATGATTTCACGAAGACGCATTAGTTCTTTAGATTGTAGAAAATGTAATTATTTGTGCCAAAAAGGGAGAATTTTCGTCACTTTCAGTGTGTCCATAGAGCAATTATTCCCACTGTAGATATCGCTTCTGACGACAGTGAAGGAGGTTAGCGAGAAGAGTGAGAAATCCCCAAAATTCATCCTTTGCCATTGGAAAATGCCAAGAGTGCTATATTCCGAAATCGAGTTGACATTTTTAGTTGGTTGATATGATGAAGAGACTTTCGCCACCCACCTCATTTCTCAGGGCCCTATTTTGTGTGGCATTCGACATGAAAGCCGCATAAAACGCGATTTTGGTCGCATAAGATGCTTTGCAATAAAGCTTCCCCTTTTACATTCACCCGTACACGGGTGTTTGTGTATAAGAATCGCTTATAAGTTGGATGTTTTATGGGGAAATAAACTCATTCTCTTCTTACTGTGTGCGGGGACTTTCTTCACAACGCGAGAGGGACTTCTCGCCCCCACGAGTGTGCTGTATGTGACAGTAAAAATCAAGACAAAAATATTTACCATCATTGCACACCAATAAAAAGTTGTGCCGGGAACTTTTCCATCATCTGGGGCTCAGTTGATTGTTGCCAGTGGGCAAAACCCGGGCAGGAGTGCCACATTAAACTCCCTCTGTGAGTGTTTTCGTATATATTGATCACTTGGGATGGGATTTCCAATTCACTGGCACATTTCAGGTTATCACAGCACTGCGGAATGTGTCGAGAAACACCATCATCGCTCTTGAGCCGCTCCCCGCAACTTACAAGCCAGAATCCGATACCTAAAAAACCACCCACCCAGCTTCTGTCTCACTCTCGCCACACGACGGCAAATCACACAATTTTGGGCAAGGATATTATTGCACAAAATCCCGGCCGCGAAGTTTGCCAGCGGGGCGGAAACACGACAATCACTCAAACAGATCCGGGAGAGTGCGGTGTGCAGGGAATGTGTCCTGATGTAGCGCCCTGGCAGCTAGAGAAACCACCACGTATCAGCATATAACATGCGAGTGGCACGAAAGGTTCACGACTAAGGAGTTGAAAAAGTTCAAACCCCACGAAAATCATTATACGCATCGAACACTTCTCCAGGACCGACTCTCCGCCATCAGTGCGCCTGTCTCAGCTCCCAGATGCATATTTTCCGCCTGCCAGCAGCGCTGTGTATGTGCCGTGTCGTCTGGTTGATCTCTTTCACCCCCACTGAGCTCCAGTGGCGACAGAAAGCTCCCCTCGATAAGCTCTCGGGCTCACCAGCGCGCCGGCGCACACTCACAGGCAAACACACTGAGACATCTCTCGCACTTATACCCGTTTCGCCCGAGATGAGGGGTTGTTTTTACACCATTGCACCCCTCACCACACGGCCAGAGCATCTCCACACAATGTTGAATGGAAAATTGTCTGCGGTGCTCACTCATATTCCCACTGTTCCACACCACAAAACTTGAAATGGAAACACAATTATTATCTACACTTGTCTCCCGACGCTTTTTTCCACTGACTGCCGTCCCCTCTTCGCCCACACTCCGAACTAATTAAAATTACGTAATTCATTCTATGGTGTGCCAATTTCAATACTAATGAACAAGTGGCTTAATCAGCACAAATTCATGATGACTAATTGCTGAGAAACTTTTTATCCATCCTCGTGAGCTGCCGACGCCCATAAAGCCTGGCATTTGCATAAACCGTGCGGCGAGTGCGTGTTCTTGTGACAATTCTCAAATGGACCATCTCGAACAGACAATAAAATTGCAATAAAATCTGGCAGTTCAGACATTCGCTACTAATGCAGTAACAAAGTGCATAGCATAAGTCTCGAGAAGGTGTCAATTTTTAATGTTTTAATTTGCAGTCAGACTAAAGAAAGCAAGATTGAGTAGAATTTTGGAGTCCCTAAAAGCTTCAATCGAGCATTGAACTGACACTGCATGTAAATTATTTTTTTTTGGCCAGTGAAACAATGGTAATTGAGAGAAAGTCTCGAAGACAGTATAACATGAATAAAAGAACAATTTTTTGACTAATTACAATTTTTTTTCTTCTCAAAGAATTGTTTTCAACTGAACCTCAAGTGTATATTTGTATATTAAGAAAAAATGATCTTACCCTTTTTCGGGTGGAAAAAAAAGTACAAACCGAAAAATGAAGTAAAAGACAACAGAAAGTTATCACAAGTCTAATTCAATATTCCACCTTCAGAAGACCATGCAAATCAAATAATTTATGTGGTCAGGACGCAATTAACATTCTTTTTGTCTTGTTTGCGTCCAGAAGATGGGCTAAAGAATTTTCATGGCATTTGAGATATTTTAATGGAAATACAGAAGAGTATAGCGAAAACGTCCGCTCATGGGTGGAATGTATATATTCAGTGTGGAGATGCTCAACGGTGAGCTTAATGTGTTGCCAAAAGTTGACGCCCACATTTTTGTCAGTGGGCAACATTTCGCAAAAAAGGCCAGCAACAGCAAGAAAGTTTCCAGGGTTGAGAGCACACAAAAAAGCTCTTTCAGGAATGTTTTGGGGGTTCACATTCATTTCCTGGAAATTTATTTGGTCATGCAAAATTATTCCTCAGCCATATCGTCCCTTAAACCTCGCCGACCAATCCAACTGGTTCGCCCACGAGAAACTGATATGTGTACAAACTGTATGCGAGTTCTGGGGGTGGCGGTGGTTTATAAAACATTTGTTCGGTTTGTGTTTTACACCAAACACAGAGATTATAAATTTGTGCACTATATTGTGCCCCAACTGCCCTTGCTGCGCATATACAATGCAGTTTTGCAAACCTCTGGACAACAATTCTTCCGAAATGTGATTCAGGAAGCTGTACAGGGCAACATGTATTGATTGAGCCCACGACAGCATTGCTTTCGAACGCAATTTAATTCACCAGGTATATAGTTTGGCGAGATTCGACGGTCAAGCCACTGTAGGCGGAAATGGAATGAATTTTCTGGTGAAAATTGAAACAAAGAGAATTGATTTTTTGCACCCAGTAAAAAGTAATATTCAATAGACTCAGTCGATGGCAGTTTACAATTTGTAATAGACATGCTTTTTCGTCATGGAATTTTTAATGGCGGTAAATCATCAACAATGAAATGCTGTGAAATGGAAAAACTGCACGAATGCTCGTCTTTGTGCTGTCAAAAAATTTTAATAATGAAACAACAGGGTGTGTCCGTCGTAAAAAAGCATATTAAATGTATTTTTAAAGAGTTCTGGTGAAAAAGGCGAATTTAATTTTGCTGATTGAGAACATGCGCTGCAATTTCGGACTGAGTGAAAAATAATGTGAAACAAAGTAAATGCGATATGATGCTTGAAGATATAATAAAAAGGCGCTTTGCGAGCTTTTGCTTAGTCTTCTGCTGAGGCCAACGCGAAATTGTGGACAAACTCATTTGTTGAGGAACGACCTGAATTTCGTAATCACTTTCTCTCGAGACAGTATTAATTTTTGAATTATTTCACCAACACGCTCTAGACAGACGCCTTAATAAATTATGCAAATTTTTATCGATTTCTGTATTGAGAATATTGCGTCAGACGCTTTGTCCTCATTTAGTTCGGCGGCACACTTGGCGAATGTGACATGTGATAGAGGAACACTGGTAGGGTGAATTAATCACTTGTGGATATATTAATGGGTCACCATTTCTGAAATATACACACGATGAGGGTGAATTTGGTGAGGAAGACCACATGAATATGTTTCGCCTGTGGTTATTATGTGGAAAACTAAAGGTTTTGCGAGTCGTTTTGGAAATTCAAAGGGGGAAAGGGAACATTGATTTTACACTCCGCTCTCCATTGTATGGCGAAAGTCTGACACCTCAACTTAGGCAGAGATGCGTAACACAACGGCAAGGAGGGAAGTTTACAGTGAAATGGGCCCATTTTGTCGTCTTCCCTCGCATGGCTTAACTTACAAATAACTGCCGCTCAGGGACAAGACAACATCATCGTTGTTAGAAGATAACCATCTCTGCTCGTTCGCCTCCTTCGCGGCATCAACCATTGGAGACCAATAAATTTCCCGATTGTATCTTTGAGGTGATTCACAGCAAAGTATTATGCTGAAGCTGCTGAAGCCACAAACTAGGTTCATCGCTATTGCTCCAATTTCCGTCCTCCATCTCGTCAAGTGTACACTCCACAGCCATTCTCAGCAGCACGATCTGCAATTCACTTGAGGAAAACACTCCTCAACACTTATTAATTAATTATGTAGCTAAGGCAGAAACATGAGATGCCCTTTTCCGCTTCATCGCCATGGCTTTGATGTGCTGAGATACTTTCTCCTAATAATGATGTACGAGGAATAGCACATAATGCACACATTGTCGAGGATTTCTTAGCAGCCAGGGTGATGATATATAGCGACACATGCAGCATCTCACATGAATGCATTCCCAAGAAATTATGAGCGATGCGATGAAGCATGGCATGAATTTTGCAGAGTGGGCGCCTCTTTGTCAGTCTAGCTTCCATCATAATGCTTGACTCCTCTCAACGCCCTATTATGGCTTTTCCACCCACACTTCGGCTCTCTTGGCGAAAAGCTACCCCTCCTCAGCAGCACGTCTTGGTGTGTATTTACTGCTGAATATGGAAGATTCATACATAAAATGTGTGCATAGTTTGTGGCATTGAACGTGACGAAAATATGGCCAGAAGCTGTATTTTCTCACTTGACTGCTCGGATTAAAGTATATACAAATTTTACCAAAAACTAACAAACACATAATATAAAAGACAACGTTGTATGCATATGGGAATTTATACAAACATCTGTACACAGTGACACCGTGTTTATGTGAAGTGGAAGCACAAATTTCCTCAGTACACTTGTCGAAAGAAAATGGTCTTGTGTGGAATGTCAGAGGAGGGAAAAATCGACATGCAAATGACTTTTAAATTTCACACCAAAACGAATGAATATGTTTGATGCTTGACAAGTTCTGCCGTGGAATGTGACAGAACGATGAGGAAACACCTTTGCTTTTGATGTCCCGTAAACGGTGAGAAATTCCCATGTAATTGAATTTCATGCGACGGTACAAAGGGTGCTTCTCAATTTAAATAAGTTCAAATGCAAAGCGGTGAGAAAAAAAACTGTTTCCACTTGACTGTGTATTGATTGCAGAACCTGTAATCGATGAAACATTTTGATCGATTTTTACATATCACCTCTCAAGTATTCAGAGCTTTTCTCGGGACTCAAATAGATTTTATGAATAACTTTAGTTGGAGGAAAGAATCTGCTTTGGACAGTTGTACGTTAAGTATATTGATTTTGCTTCTTTTTTTTATAAGAAAGATTTAAATAAACTTTTAGTGTTTCGTTATAGCGGATGGGATTTTAATTTAAACTTTTAATGAACTGTGGAAAATATTTTCTCAATATCGCAATAAAATTTCATATGCAATTCAATTGCATACCATTCAATATCGCATCTATTATTGATTCAAACAATCGGTCCATCATCACAAAACTACTCGGAAACATTAAAACACAAGAACGTTTTATGCTTCCTTTCATTTCCATTCGTAATAGAAGTTTTTATTGGGTAAAATCTACACTTGTACACTTTAGTCTGAATAACTCTGAAATGGTAATAAGTCTTAAAATCCACAAATAATTCAGAATAAGTATTTTATAACAGAATCCCGCGTTTCATAACAATTACAAATTAAGTGAATAATCCATTTGGTGACAGCAATTATACAAGCCATTATGACAATGTTCGAATATAATTAATGTCAAAAGAATCTGATTCTATGGTCAGATTAGAGAACACATTAATTACGCGGAATTACATCACATTGTGAAACCCTTAACGTTTCATTGACCCATTTAGCGCATCAAATGTCGAGTCCTTTAGAAATTTTGTTGTTGAAATGCGAATTGATTGTCATATAAT